AGCAAAGTATAAACCCTCATGCAGACCATATGTATGAAAGAAAATAGCTTTAACAGATGTCTCATTTTTAGAGTTTTATGTACCATATTTTGGTAAATTATGATTTGAATTGCTCTTCCAGGCCAACACAAAGACCTTAGTTTAATAGAAGTTGTAAAGGAATTTGACCAATAAGCTGTCCACTTATAAGAAGACAGTGCCATATGTGCAAGTGAATTCCGTCGGGGAAGATCATCCAATGGAAGGTATTTCCTATATCAGTCACGAGAAACATTGCCTGCCAGTCACCAGGTATTTAAAAAAATGGAGCCCTAAATCAGAAGCTCATTATCTCACTCAGTAAGACTGCTATTACCTTCAGGGTCAGGATCAGAATCCAAAATGACATTTTGCATTAGACAGGGGCAGGATAGGAAATGCAACCTGTGCAACATGACCTAGATGGTGTGGCTAACACACAAGTGGGTTGCAAGTTCTTGAATAAATGTGTTGAGTTATACATTATCTCTCAAAGGGAAAACCAGTAAAATGGATTAAAGACTTAAAAATGTAAGACCTGAGCCTGTAAATTATACAGAAGAAAACATGGGCACTAACCTCCTAGACATCGGTCTTAGAATGTTTTTGTGGACTTGACTCCAACAGCAAGGGAAACAAAAACAAACATAGATAAATGAGACGACATCAAACTAAACAGCTTCCGTGCAGCAAAGGGAACCATTAACAAAACAAAAACGCAACCAACTGAATGAGAGAAGATATTTGCCAGTGATATTTCCAATAAGGAGTTAATATCCAAACTATATAAAGAACCCAACAACAACCACCTAACAATAACAAAAAACAAACAACCTGATTAAAAAATGGGCAGAGGATCTGAATAAACCTTTTTCCAAGGAAAAGGCTCATGAAAAGATGTTCAACATCACTATTAGGGACATGCAAATCAAAACCACAATAAAATATCACCTCACACCTTTTAGAATGGGTATTACCAACAAGGCAAAAATAACAGGTTGTTAATGAGGATGTGGAGAAAAGGGGAACCCTCGTGAGCTCTTGGTGAATGTATACCAGTGCAGCCACTATGGAAAACAGTATGGAGGGTCCTCAAAAAATTAAAAATAGAACTACCATGTGATTCAGTGATTCTACTTCTGGGTATTTATCCAAAGAATATTTACAATAGCAAAGATATAGAAACAACCTAAGCACTCATCAACCAATGAATGCATACAGATGATGTACTACACACACACACACACACACACACACACACACACACACACACTCACTCTCTCTCTCCCTCTCTCTCTCTCTCTCTCAATGAATACTACTTGGCCATAAAGACAATGAAATACTGTCATTTGTGACAACATGGATAGGTCTTAAGGATATTGTGCTAAGTGAAATAAATCAGGCTGAAAAGGACAAATGTCATTTGATTTCACTCATATGTGGAATACAATACAAAAAAGGAAAAAAAAAACCAAACGATCTAACAAATAAAAACAAACTCATAGATACAAACAACAGATTGGTGTTTACCAGCAGGGAAGGGGGTGAGGGTGAGGGCAAAATGGGTAAAGGAGGTTAAACATATGGTGAAGGATAAAAACTAAACTTTTAGTGGTAAGCATGCAACAGTGTACATAGATATTGAATTATAATGTTGTACACCTAAAACTTATTTGTTATAAACCAATGTTAACTCAGTTAAAAAAAAAGTTATGACTAAAGTAAAACATGATCTCATCCTACAATTGCATTTCTTTTTCAGTATCTAAAAGTTTTCTATGATTGTGTTTTATTAGTTTTATTGCTAATTTGCCTTTATTCCTTGTTCTTATTATTCTGTACTTTTACTTTTTCTGGGAAGTTGAGGAGAAATTCAGTAATTGCAGTTCACAGTCAAATACTTTTTCAATTTGTATTTTTTTAAACAATGGATGAATAATTTTATTTGGCCCTTAGGAAAAATGTTAAAAATATACTCCTTTTAACTTTCAGTAGGCTCAGACTTTCAGGAGGTTAATCACGGATCAGAACATTCTAGGCCGTTTTATAGGAGAGGCCTAAGACATAATTATATTAAAAAGTTTTGCTTTGATATGCACACAACTGCTGACCCTGTGAATTTTAATATACATTTATAAGCATTTTAACAGTGAAATTAATATTGGCACCATAGTGATAGTTTTCTTTTTAAATTAATATTCACACAAACAGTGTGAGCATGTGATTCATGTGATTTCATAGAAGAGACGTTGATACTTGCTTTAAATAAAAAGAAATAAAACCTGAATGTTTTATATGATATATTAGAGCACTACTTCATATCTTGATGCATTTCGAATTCAAAAGGATCTTGACAAACTAAGAGATCATTCTTTCAGTAAATGCCATGGATAAAAAGAGGGACCATGATTACATTTATCATGGGCTTTTATTTTTCTTTGACTTTTTAACTTTTTAAAATTTAGTCATAATAAAAATATAACCTAGATATTTTAAACATGGATGTGAATTAAACATTAAAGAATGAAGCCAAAAACGTAGACATTTCATTGTCCATTCACATATAATGTATATGCAGCAGTAGGTAGCTGACTCCACATTTTATGTCACTGACCTGGCATGGTATTATTTCCCAGTGTCCCAGATGGTATGCAAAGTTCTGAGCATGCGTGAAAAATATGTACACATGGACGTGTATGTGTGTGTTTTGTGAAGGATGGAACCAAACAATAGCCTTTATAACTTTAATAAAAGCTGCCATTTTGATCAAATGAAAGTTTAATTTTTATTTGAAACATTAAATTGCCAGCATTTATAAAATGTGTAGTGCCTTATGGCCTTTACACCTAACAGCTGATGACACTAATTTTTGGGATGATGATCAAGTACATGCTGATGCAGCCATTGCCCTAAAAAGACATGATGAAGCATCTACTCCAATTTCAAGTAGATGAACATGGTTCTTTTCTGTAAATGAGTACCACTGGCCTGTGACTTCTAATAATGAGTACCTACCACCTAGATTTGCAGTAAAAATAAAATCTAAGTTAAACTCTTCAAAAGTTTTGGGGAGTAAGAAGATAATTTTCAACTACACAAATAAACAGTGAACTCACATTTTCTAAAAGTGAGTCGTGTTTCAAAAAAATCCAAGACTTGTGTTCTAAAGGATGAAAATCTGCATTGATAAACATATATTTGTCTATAACAGAACTCTACAGTAAATCTTCAATGTACTTTTGACACATTTGACTACGTGTCACTCCGTGTGCATCTTGTACTTCTGTACCTTATCATTTCTTGGGAAACTTTTTAAGTTGTAGCATGGTTAGAAGTTTCTCTACTGATGGGACAATATTAATTGTTCAACAGTCAGTACTGAAGAGGATTTAGGGTTTCTATTGGCTTTATTACATTACCTATTCTGTTTTATAAGAGAAAAATTAAGATGATAAAATCTGGTATTATACAATTTATGTTTATATCCATCTTTAAACATTAAACTTCATATTTGAGTGAAAGCTGCACATTCATTTTACTGCTTATAGTTAGGTGGTTTTTCAACTTTCTAATGAGAATTACTTTACTCTAAAACCTACACCCCACATTTAAACACACAAGGAAATAAAATAGCTTCTTTGTTTTTCTCTTCCATTTAAAGGAAAGAGAGACAAAACAACCTACGCATGTTTGAATTTAGAAGCTTATAGGACATTTCTCCTTTCTGACTATGGTTATGTTACTTTGCCTTAGCAACAGACACCCTTTATTTTCTGTCTATGGAAGCACACTATCGTCTTTTAAATTTTTTTCTTGTATGTGCTTTGCATGTTATGATATATTTATTTACAAAAATAATTTTGTGTCTTTAAAAAAATTCATGTTGGAAACTTACTATGGAGAGAGAAAAAAGAAGTTAAAAAATGTAAGCGAACCAACAAGATATGTTGGTGTTGTCTAACTCCATTAGAATTCAAACAAGGTCACTGCTCTTCCAATGACCTTGGCTGAAATCTAATCCTTTTCTAATATCATCACTCGAAATTAAATCCACTTGTCTTTCTCATTAACTGCTGAATATTTCCTGCTAGCATGAACTTTGGTCACCTTAGCCAAAGGAGGTACAACCTGCATCTAATCCAGTTACATTTGACCTTCTCTTGCAAAAGCTATGCATTTTAATTTATTAAGACAATATGGTCTGTTTATCATATCTCTATAATTAGGAAAATCAATGGACAATTAGCTAATGTCTTAGAAACAATTTCTGTCTTAAGTAACAAAGGATTTATTACACATTTCACAGAACATAGGCTTGGGTATAGAGTCTGTTTGCAATAGATGCTGCAACTGCTGGTCGCAGGAGCAGGCAAGACCCAAAGCAGGTTTTCTCTCTCTTCTCCATCCCTATATACCTTGGCTTTGGGATCACAGAGAGAAATCAGGAAAGTCAGCTGTTGATGGGGAGGTTGAATGGGTGAAATGATGGGCCCGACTTCCCAGTGCAGCTCAGACTCAATTTTATGTGTTATGTATTCTATTGAAGTTCTACATAAAACATTCTTTGAAAAAGTCATGGTTCTTAACAACAATAAAAAAAAACTTTTTGGAAACCACATTAGATGATTCCTTTCCAAATGCTGTGAGTTTACACCAACTTATTAACTCATACTGGGCTGAGATCAAAAGACGGCTACACTTGGATAAGTCAGTATTAATAAAATGAGTAACACTGTCAGGTTTGCATGTTACTCCCTCTGATTTCAACTGCTTTACACACTCCACAAGCTAGATATAGTTTAATAATTATTAACTAATATTGATGAGATGTACCTCTAATAGTGATGGGTCTGATCGCATATGGTACAAATAAGATGCACTACATATATTGTTATAAATGGTAAAATCATGTCTAGATAGTTCATAAATGAGATTTAACAATAGATGTTAACTAAAGAGAATGTGTGAGATTTTGTACGTACCCTCGTGTTGGAATATTCATGTGCCTGGCAGACTTAACAACCTCCTCAAACTTCTCCATACTTTCTTCAATAGAACAGTTAATATTCTTCTTGCTAAAGGACTCAGATGCAGCACCAAACACTGATATCTCAGTGGCACCAGCAGCAACCTGAAAAACATAATTTAAAGGCATAAGCTAATAATTTAAAAAATGTAAGTGACAGCAGAAGAAATACTAACTACTCTATAAAGTCATACTTGCATTCTTTAAAATTTGCCTTAGAATTTAAAATCACATTCCTCTCATATTGCTACATATACTTTTTTGAAATGTAAAAACATTTTATAACAATAATTCCACAACCTGCAACACTGGTAAATCTATGTGGCACAGAAAACACAGTGATGATGCTCCAATATAATTTTGCCTTTCCTAAATTATGTTATCCTCACAAATACTTTAACACTAATTATGGAAAATAATAGCACCCCAACAAAACATCTTAAATATCTATGAAAAACATTATTTTTAGACCAATTATTATAACACAGTACAGTAAAGTCTTTCTGTTTTTCTTCTCTTCCTGCAATCCAACAGAAAAATAGTTTTCAATTCATCATTGGGATTTTGCCCCAAATTTTCTTCCTATCTCTTAACCAAGCTTCCCGTTTCATACCTCCACTGCTACAACACGCTCTTGTGTGTCTAATGCTAAATCCTCCTGCCAATCTGTAAATCCAAAATGTTAACCTAATCAAGTTCCCTTTTGCCCCTTTTGCCATCTTCACTCTTTCCCAAAGGCTTCTCCAGTGACTTCTTTTCAAATGTCAAGCCTCCTCTTTGTCCAGCTGAAATTTTAAAATGTTCTATGAATGTATCTCTAGCACTGTGCCCAGGTTCCTCCTCTCATTCTGATCCCTATTAATACATTGAGAAAAAAATTTTGTTATCTTTCCTCCAACATTAAAAAAAATATATCAGGGCCGGCCGAGTGGCGCGATGGTTAAGAACTGGCTTGGGACACCAGAGGGGCCCGGTTCGGATCCCACATATGAGGGCCAGTGACACTGCCCTCTACAGCTAAGATGCTGAACAACAGCTCAACCTGGAGCTGGGCTGCTGTGAGTCGCCGGCGACGGCGTAGGCTGCAGCCCCTGTGGCAGTGGGTTGCCATGGGCTACCGTGTGTAGCCAGCAGCCGCAGTGAGCGGCCGTCCAGAAGCCGGCGACTGATCTGCCTCGCCCGGGAAGAGCGCAATGATGGTGCCAACTTGGGCCAGTGAGGCAACGTCCTCCACAACTAGACTGAAGAACAAAACGACAGCAACTTGTCTGTTCCCCTTCCCCCAATTCCCCAGCACTGTTCCCATCCCAATTCCCCAATAAAAATCTTTAAAAAAAAATATCAGCTTCCACTCCTCTATCCAAATCAATTTTAACCTTTAAGATTAAAATTATATTTATGGAACATGTACTATGCTCCAGTATTGTTGTTGGTACTTTGCATACCCTATTTCTAATAGATAAACAACCTTGTAAGCTAAGTATTATTACATTTTACAGATGAGAAAACTGTGGACAAGACACTAAATCACGACCACAGGGTCACAGAGCTAGTAAACGATCTGAAACATTACTTTGAGCACGGGTTTGTGTGACTCCCAAGCCAAGTTTTGTTTCATTCCATTACTAGCCCTTCTAGCTACCTGAGGGTATCCTCTCAGTATCTTTTCAAGGTGAATGTATTCCCTTCTCTGTTTAGGACCCAATGAGAGTAATATTTACAATGTCTTAAGATTCTTCTTGTTTTCTTTACAATGTGATAAACAATTATATCAAATCAAACAAAAGAAAAGTGGTTTTAACAAAATACACTAACAGGTGATAGATAACTAGCACCCACAATCGCAACTCATGCAACTCAGCCTGAAATACAAAAGTAAAAAAGACCCATGAACACCAGCAATAGCAGCTGCAAAACTTTTACAGTAAAGCTATGGAAGCATACCAGCTCAAGTCTTTACTTAAAATCACACTGATTTTTCTCGTGCATAATTACTAAAGCCTTTTTGCATATCAGTTCCTAAATCACAGAGGATCAGAAGAAAGAAGCCAGAAGAGGAATAGGGAAACCTGTTAGAGGCAGTTCCTATGACGGTGATTAGAGTCATCTCTAGAGGGGCCAGTGGAACAACAGCAACAGCAAGCAGACTCAAAAAAGTTGACAAAAATAATTCTTCACTATAATAATATTAATAATTATAATCATAATATTGCACTGAGAACTGATTAGCTTACATTCTATATTCCTTATTTAAGATGGATGCACAAAATACACTTTCAAAAGAATTTCACCTTAATGGATAATTGTAGTTTAATTCTTGAATGGTTAAATCTGAAGAACCATTTATGCAAAGCACGTTAGTCCCTAACTGAACCATGAGGGTATTGATCTCCACGTATTCATGTCAGTGTATTAGCATAGTATTTGTACAGAATAGCAAATGAGTTACATATGACACAGTTTTAACTTTGTAAAGAATTTGAAAACAGTAAGAAGAATACTGATTTGAGAAACATTAGTAGCACACTTACAGCATGGTGAAAACCCTGAAGATTAGGAGTGAGGACAGGATATCGAACTCCTGGATATTGACGAATGCCTTTCATCACTTCAGTGTGATCAGCCATCTGAAATACATAATAGTTACATATAAATATGTAACTTTGGATATTCCATCAAGCACATTTTTAGTTTTTTCAGGAAGGTCATAATTACACATGTAATTATATTCTATAAATTAGTGCTTGAAACAAAACTATGTCAATGTAGCTCAAGATAAGTAGTTCTCAAAACCATAAAAACATAATACCTAGATCTGGGTTTAACTTATTCACATAACAGGTTCTGGTTGAATGTGTGATTATGAATAGTCAGGGATTCTGAACCCTACTATTTTTACTCAACTGATCTTTATTCTCTGCAATTCATTCCATGACCCAAGCCTCAAATGCCCAAGACTCGAGACAGTGTGAAAAGCAATATGCTACACATTTACCTTCCACAAGAAAATTGTATGTCCAAATCAAAAACCTTGAATTTTTATGAAGATAGTTATAAAATGTAACAATAATTTAATAGATGTTTCAATCAGTAGAACTAGAAAATAAACAGATGATAGTAACTAAGTTCTCAGGTCATGAAAACTAAAATTTGATAATTATTAGAAATTCCTTAATTAAATTATAATAAATATGTTAATTAGAATCCAACAAGTCAGTACATTTTTTTTCTTTTTTTAAAATAGCCACAATATAATGATGTCATTTAACAGGTAACAGTTATCTAAATTTGGTCAATAAAGACAATTATGTAAAGAGCTGTAGGAATTCCTGATAGAATTTTATTTCAATGAATAAAATACAGCAGGTTTCAATTAAAGTATATATTGATTAATTGATTGATTGATTTGACTCAGGGAGTTTATGTATACTTCAATCTTGATGTTATTTTAATGTCTAAAGTTATTATTCAAACAGTAATGGAACTATTCCTTTATAGTATTATTTTAACATTCTAATGAATCTTTTCTACATCAGGTTTGATTTACCATATTTTTAACATTCTGTTGAGACTTTTCATTAAGCTCATACAAATCATCATAATTTGGTTGATAACACGCTTTGCTATCATCTGGCTACAATCTGTGAATGGCAATACCTACTTCTATCTAGCCCACAAAACAGGCTATACCATGGTTCACCAATTCCTTCAGCATCCATATTTTGATATGGATTCAAATAGAATATCTGTGCAACACTTTGCAAGAATCTTAAAGATATGTAAAGGGCCACGAGGATTAGAATGTAATAGGTGTATAGTTAAGAGATTTTATTATATTTGCTACTAACTCTATCACAGGGTAATTAAATATGGACACTTCACATTATACATATGTAGACATCTAATATTTTGTCTTTATCTAAATAGTATAATATCTCCTAAATATTTAGGCTTTCAGTGTGTTCTCTAGGCAATAGCAATGGCTAAAATATAGTTTGAGCATTGTTAAATGCCATTATCTCATCTAAATCTTCTGATATTATGGACTTTCAAGATAATGCATATGAGTATGCAGTCATAAACAATGAAAAAGCTTTCTCATAAACTTGAGAGGAAAAATATTGGAAGTTTCAGTTATATTTCGCAAACAGACTATAAAATTTACCACTGGGAGATATAAAAGCTAATTTTAAAATATCATGGCACCTTAAAAAATGATTTTTATAATTCATTTCAATATTTGAGTATTGATTAATTTTAATATTTTGAACACTTACTGCATAACTAACTAACATTATGGCATAGATAAATGAAGCAGATGTTGTCCATACATATATAATACACAGGATAGTGGGGAAAGATATATGTGTGTGTTTGTGTATCAAAAATACAAGTTAATACAAATATCATGTGATCTGAAGTTTTATGGAACACAGATAAAAAAGCATTTTTTCTTTGCAACCTAAATAGAATAATGACAAATATTTAAACTAAATCTTATCTAGGCCAAATGTAAATAATTCAAGACCTTGTCTTCTTTGGAGTAAAATAGCCACAGAGTTTAACTGAGCAAAACTATTCATAGAGATTAAAACTAATAAAAAATATTCATATGGCAAAACTATTCATATCTATCTATACATATATATACATATTTTCAAAGATAAATTAAACTTTCTAGTGTACTATAAAGGAAAGGGTTTAATAAGCCTAAACTTAGAACACACTTATTTATTAAAATTTTTCAGATAATTATGGGGTGACATATTTTATAGAAATTAATTTAATTTTTAAAGTAATACAATTCTTTCATCTTCAAGTCCTATAAAATGGAAAGTAAAAACACTTATTACCCTTTACTTCTCTTGCAATAAACAGTTGATAAACAGAATATTCACTGATTGAATATGTTCAGTTTCAACTGAATATATTTTGTGTGAAATATTCAATAAAGGGAAATGAGTATTTATGATTTATTTTAGGTGTACATACATAGGAAACTGAGAGGTTCTATTCCATTTTAGAAAAATTGACTTCTCTTCATTTAAAATTAAATCACTGATTAACATGTTTCCCTTTTACCAGAAAAAAATGCAATTACAAAGATGCTACATTGTACAGGTCTCTAAGTTCCAGAGATGCATTTATTATACATTTTTATATGAAAGTCTTTTGTGCACATTTATGATACATAAATCTACTACATTTATTATTCTAACTCAACAAGAGATTAGTAACTAACAAGATTTAAAACAATGTGAGAGGAGCTGAGTTGTTTTCCATCACCATAGAAATCATTCAATGCATTTTTGTGGCTGTTGAAGTCGAGGCAATTGTATTGTGTGACAGGGCTGAAATATTATGAGTTTGAATTATACTCTAGTTTTAAATGGCAAAAGTGTTTAGAGTAGGATCAAACATTCACACAAGAGAAAAATGTAAAGATACTGAATCTTTACAGGGATATCTGCAAAATTACAGAACTTGATCACCTCTCTTACAACTGGACTTGTAACCTAAATATAGGAGTCTACTTTTTCTCCTCTTCTCTCTGTCCTGGCCCAGTCAATATGACCAAACCAAACATGACCAGTGGGTGAGCAATACCCATTGTTCCTTCCTCCACTCCATTCACCTGCTACAGAGCTGTTTCCCTCCCCTTCCCTCCAACAAGAGTCTTGCATCTGATGTCTTATCATGGTATACTATGGAGGAGAAAGCTGAGAAGTGAAGTGCTAGAAAAAAAGAGGACAAGAGAGGCAGAAAATCTAAATAATCTAAATAGTAATGAACTTGGGGAGAGACATGATGGGGTTTGAAAGGTATGTTCCAGTGGCAAGATGCTTTCCCTGCTCTGGAGCAGTGAAGAAGAGTTAGAAAAGAAGACAAAAGGGCAATGACATAAAGTGTTGCTTTATCTATAAAGTGGATTTCCTGTAATGGGCAAGTGACACACATTAAAATGGATTACCATTTAATTCATTTAGGTTGCTGTATTATATTCCTTTATGTGTGAATCCAGGCACAGACTTTTGTCACTTGGGAGAGCTCAGAATGGTTGCACTTTTCAAGAATACTGGTATAAACATTCTTACATATTTAAAGTATGTAACATAAAATACAGCACTCAATTGTTCCTCCTATTAAAACTATCACTCTAGAGTGCAGCAAAGAGTCCATATTTACCATGTTCTACAATATCTGGCACCAGAAGTATTTAAATATTTGAAGAAAAATAAGTTTCAAAATCTATAGAGCCAGAAGCTAGTCTATAGAAAATTCTTCCACACATTAATATGCAAAATTGTAAATGAACCTGTTTTCATCAATATCAAATTAAAGTCTTTTTTGTCAGAATTATATTTAATATATAGTATATACAATTGTAAATATACCACTCATACTTTTGTTTTTTATTTTTTTATAAAAATCACAGATAATAGAATATATATAAAAAATTTTCACTATGAAGGGCACAAAACTACAGTAATGCTTCTAAAACAATGTTTCTGTGTATAAGGTTACACATCACAAAGTATTAGCTTATATCTCAGTATGGCATTACCAATAATGCATAATTAACATGAAATACATTTTCCTAACCTATCAATAATTTAAAATTCTTGATCAATGGTGCAAAAGAAAAGACTGACTCATCTTTCTGGCCTCTCCAGAGAATATCATAAAGTGCTATTATGAGAAAGAAGCAAACAAAGAATCTGCAGTCAATAATTTAGAATAAATGAAGAAATAAAAAAAATCAGGACTATAACTAATAAAGAGATTGCATCAGTAATCAAAAACTTTGAAGAAAAAAAAGCCTAGACCAGATGACTTCACTAGTGAATTTTACCAAACATTTAAAGACGCCTTAATGCCAAATCTTCTTCAAACTCTTCTTAAAAAAACGAAGAGGGAATACTTCCAAGCTCATTCTTTAAGGCCAGCATAAGCGCTGATTTTATAAGACCCTGACACCAATACCAGAAAAGATATTACAAAAAGGGAAAAACTATAGTCCAATATTTCTGATGAGCGTAGATGAAACAAGCCTCAACAAAATAGTAAAACCTTGGATTGCGAGTAAAGTGGTTTGCGAGTGTTCCACAAGACGAGCAAACATTTCTAATATATTTTAACTTGGTAAACGAGTGATGTCTTATAATGCAAGTAGTTTGTTTCCAGAATAAATTATGCTCGCAAACCAAGTACATTTTAACGTGGTACATGAGCGATGTCTTGCAATGAGTAGTTTGTTTCCTGAATGAATTATGCTCGCGAACCAAGGTATTACTGTACTAGCAAACCAAATTCAATAGTACATTTAAAGGCTCACACTCCATGATGCAGTGAGACTTATCCCTGGGAGGCAAGGAAAATTAAATATATACAAATAAATGTGATACCCCACAATAGTAAAATAAAGGATTAAAACCACATGATCATCTCAACAGATGTCAAAATTTGACTTAAGAAAAATGGATGTCAAAAAGCATTTGACACAATTAATACCCTTTCATGATAAAACTCCCAAATAAAATTCTCTAGGAACAGAATGAAGTTACCTAAACATAATAAAGGCCATACAGTAATACCTTGGTTTGCGAGCATAATTTGTCCCAGAAAC